GGTGACCTTGGCTGCGTGTAGCCAGGCCACAGGGCAGGTATACTGAAGGGTGCAAAGCGTGCCAGGCCCTGAAGAGACAGGCAGAGCAGCCACGCTGGGCTCTTAGGGGTCTGAGGGTCGAGGCCCTGGCTGGCTGCTGAGAGCCAGGCAGCCCTGCCCGGGGTTGAAAGTCAGGGCTCACAGAATGGGGGGGAGCAGCATAAGCTTCATGACCAGGTACAGTGCAATGCCAGGAGCCTTGGTAACTCTGACAGGGTCAGACCCTCTCATGTACTTCTCCCACTGTACACACACACCCCAGTCTTCCTTCTCCTGACCCCTTTCACGGATGCACGGCCTGAGGCTCCTGGGAGACTTTCTAGGCCACAGCCCCCAGAAGGGCTCCCTCTGCCTCCTTTGCCAGCTGGACCCCTCCCCTCCCAAGGAGGGCATGGTACCAGGAGGCTGGCAAAAAAAAAAAAAAAAAAAAAAAAAAAAAGGTGCTAGAAGCCAGGCCTGGATGGCATGATCCCACAAACCCGACCCCTCCCAGACAACTTACCACTTGGAACAAACAGCAGCAAGCCTGTGCTTCTTCACAGCCAACGAGCCAGCCTGAGCCCTCCAAGACTGCAGGCTAAGACCGCCTTCCAGGGCCCTGGGCAGCCTCGGGGTTCTCCACTTCCTGTTAGATGACCCACCCCCAGCATGGCTCTTACTCTGTCACCACAGGTCAGGCCTGCCTGAAGAAAACAGGGCAGAGCCACAGGCTCACCATCATCACGCTCCCTGCTCACAACCTCCTTCAATATCCCAACATATCTTCCAGAAGGAGGGAGGGGCTTAAATTGGCAGCAGTCCCAGGAAAACCCCTGTTGACTAGGAGTTGAAAAAATCGTATTTGGGGAATTTTAAAGCAGAAATGCTGGGGGCCCAAACTCCTAGGAAAGCAAGGTTTGGTGGCTGAGGCCAGCATTTCCAGTACTTGGGAAGCTGAGGTGACTCCAAGTTTAAGGCCAGCCTAGGTCCTATGGTTGCACCTGCCTCAAAGCAAAACAACAATAAAAACTCCTTGGAACAGGGCATGGTGGCACATGCCATTATCCCAGCACTCGGTGGGTCTCTGAGACCAACGCCATCCTGTTCTACATAGAGACCAGGCCAGCCAGGGAAACAGTGAGACCCTGTCTCAATCCAGGACAGGCCCCATGCCCAGGAGTAACGGATCAGCACAAAATGGACCTTTTCTTGAGCTCTTTTTTGTATTTTTTTTTTTTTTTTTTTTTTTTTTTTTTTTGGTTTTTCAAGACAGGGTTTCTCTGTGTAGCTTTGCGCCTTTCCTGGAACTCGCTTTGGAGACCAGGCTGGCCTCGAACTCACAGAGATCCGCCTGGCTCTGCCTCCCGAATGCTGGGATTAAAGGCGTGCGCCACCACCGCCCGGCTCTTTTTGTATTTTTTGTCTTACTGATTTTTTTTCTTTCCTTTGTCTGTTTTGATTTTCATTTTTTTTGGTTTTTGTTGTTTTTCTTGGGTTTTGTTTTATTTTGCTTGAAAAAGAGGAGAACATGAAGTTGGGTTGGTAGGGAGGTGGGGAGGATCTGGGAGGATTAGGGAAGGGGAAAGAATATAATAAAATATGTAGTGTAAAAAAAATTAAAACAAGCAAACAAAGCCACCTCCTTGGGAAATGTGGACAGACCCCACTGGGCATCAGCTCGGAAATGCCCCCAACAACCTCAGATTACAGCAGCTGAGACAGGGGGAAAGCTCTTTAAGAAGACACACTGTCAGGCCTGGTGAGCTCCCCTTTGCCAGGAGGGATCTGGTGCAGACCACACCTGGCTGAGGTCCCACCATGGGAGCACGCCTTCCTCCCCTGGGCTGGCGTAGGACAAGAGAGACGGGAAGACAGGTCTGGGCATAACGAAGGGAGTGGCCAGCTGTTACCCACCTGAGCTAGGTGGGCACTACAGAGCAGTGCACCAGAAGGTCACCAGGATGGAACGGCCAATGTGCTAAAGGCAGGGCCTCCCGGAGGCCATGCTGGGTCAGATGTCCCAGTTGGCAGAGCTGCAGAGGCAGCCAAGTGTGCCCAGGCTCACACTCCTCTACTGTGGTGCTGACCTCAAGCTGGGAAAAGAATCTTCCCTGCCAGGTAGATTCCAGTCCACCACAGGCCACCACTGCCCCCACCCTGGCCGGTGGGAGAGCGGCTGGAAGACTCTGAACCTCACAGCTTGGGCTGGGGATACTGAACAAAACCCCTAAACACCTTCCCGTTGCGTTTGTTCCAGATTTGAGCAGGGTAGAGCCACAGCCCTCCTAGGTACACAGGGGCACCCACACCCAGAAGCAAACTGAAATATGAAGATGTGCTTACAGGCACACGTGGTCATGCACACAATCACATATGTGCAGATACATACCATGTTACACACATGTACTTGCACACACAGACCCAAGCACTGTGAAGGAGACTCCAGGTCTTGCCCCTCTGTCTGTGGGTCCAGCTGCCCAGAGCCTCCCTACTCAAAACCGGAGCATACCTACCTGTGAGTGGGTCCTGCTAAGGGGCCCCAGCATGAGCTAAGCATGAAGATCACAGCAGGCAGACTGCGTAAATGCATGTGTGTGGTCATAGGTATGTAGGCAGGAGTGAGGACGGCGATATGTACCCTTAGAGTCCGTGTGTGTACCCACAGTGTTTACGCATGTGCACACTAGGGCAGATTTGGTGTAAGTGTGCACTGGAGGTGTGCAAGACTATATGTAGCCCACATAGACACGTGCAAAGAAACGTGTGTGCAGCCTGCGGCACCATGGACATCAGCAGGGTAGATAGGGTGGGCACCTGGGGAAGGCAATGTGTTCACTCCAGAGTCTCCAGGTAAGGCATGCCCAACCTACACGAAGCCCATCCTCCCTTGCCCCTACTGCGGGGACTTCGCACCCGGATGGGAGGAGGGATCCCACAGGGCTGCCAGGGAGGGGGTGCTTCGAGCACCAACGCCCCTCAATGGAGCCTCTCACTCTCAGGAGCCCTCCCGATCTCAGAGGAGGGAGGCATTGCTTTGTGTATGTGTGTGTGTGTCCTCGCTACCTGCCCCAGGGACAGCGCTGGGATTGTCCTGTCCTCCACGCCCTCTGCCGCCGCCGACACCCCTATTCATCCCTATTTCGTTTGACCCCAAAGAAGCAGCTTCGGAGCTGAGTCCGCCGGGCAGGCGAGATACCCCATCTCGGTCCAGTGTCCACGTTTCTGCAAACCCCGCTTATTAACCCATTCGCCGCCTGTGCGCTCGCAGGTGGGACCCCCGCCCTTCCAGCCCGCAGCCTCCACCCGGCCCTGGTCCAACATCTGGAACCTCCGACCCGCCATCCCTGGCCCTGCCGTCGCCGTCAACTTTCCCGCAAAGCCGCAACTTTTGCGGCTGCCGCGGGCTCCGCCCTCTCGGGGCCCAGCAGCTAGCGGCCAGCGCGCGGCGTGGCACTGCGGTGGCCCTCGGGAGCGCCGGGCGACCGGTCCCCGGCAACGGCAGCGCGGGCCGTGCCCTCGCGCTCCGCCGCCCCGCTGCAGCCCGGCTCTGGAGCGGCGCAGACACTCACCTCCGGAGGACGCCCTCTTCATCTTCGGGGTCGAGCGGGGCGCGTCGGGCACTGGAAGCGGCTTCGGGGCGGGCGCCCGTCTGCGCGCGGCCGGGTCCGCATCCAGGCGCCGCCGCTCCGGCCAGGTCCCGGCCCGGCCGCGGGACGAGGCTCGGGCGCTCCGCTCTACCGGGCCGGGCTGGGCTCGCGGGCTGCGGGCGCGCAGGGCGAGGGCGGCGGCGTGGACTGGCGGGGCGCTCGCAGCACGGGCCGGGAGAGGATGAATGTTTTATGGGATCATGTGGTTTGACGCGCGGAATCCGCCGGGTCTCCCCGCCGGCCCGGGCGGGCGGGGCGGGGCCGGGGCGGGGCCTGGCGCCGGGCGGGGCGCTCACCTGGGCGCGCGGCGCGGGCGCGAACCGGTGGGTACCGGGTGCAGGACCAGCCGGCGGGCGGCGGGAGGGGAGACGACGGTGCCTGGCGCGCGGTCCAGGTGGCAGGAGGCGCTCAGCCACTCGGTGCACGGGCCACGCGCGGCCCCAGACAAAGGCGGCGCATTCCTGAAGAGGCGGCGGCCCCTGCAGGCGACCGCAGGCACCGCGTCCCGGAACGGGCCGTGGGCGCGGGCTCGAGGGCGTGGCGGCCCAGCCTGGCCGAGTCCCGAAGGGAGTGCTGGGCATCGGAGGGGCGCAGCAGGCCTTTGTGTGGCCCGCCTCCTGCTTGCCCCTTAAATCCCTTTGCTTGAGAACTGTCCTCGGCGACTGGTAAGAAAACTGAGAGACAGGCTTAACAGTGCAGTGGTGCTCCCCTCCCCGGTTGTGAAGCCCTCTCTACCCCCCCTATCCCAGGAGGGCACTCTGGCCTTGTCTTCCCCTGCCTCGGCACAGGTTCCCATCTCTTTCCTTTTTGCGATGGAGATTATAGAGTCCGAAGACTCCTTTGGACCCACCCTCCACCAAGCCAGACTAATAGAAGCGCGCGCGCGCGCGCGCGCGCGCGCACACACACACACACACACACACACACACACACACACACACACACACACACACACGTCCCGTCTCCCACTCCTGCTTGGGTGCTCTACCTGGAGTTCCTAAGTGCATTCTGGAAAACTTCAGCTGACTGCCAGGCCATTGTCTGTGTCTCTCCCGCACATGAGCCCCCCAGGGAGCGGGGTAGGGCTCATGGTCTGCCTGCCTCACTGGGGAAAGCCAACACCAAGTAGCATGGCATAGCCTTGGAGACCGCTGAAGTGGCTGCAGTGGCCTGGCCTTCTGACCAGACGTGGAGGTTACACTACTCAGGCCTTCCCTGGCTGGTGCTCTGTGTCCCCAACCACACCTTTCCCTGCCTTGTCCCAGTCTTGGATTTTCAGGTCACTGGAAAGTGGGTTCAATTTCCAGGCACCTGGGAGATGAGGTGGAGCCAGAATGGGCGTTCACAGCCACTTCTCCATTGCACACTGGTCAATGAGTGCCATCAGGCTGGCCCCTGAAGTGGCTCTGAATTCTCATCCCCCTCCCCACCACATGGGAGGTTTGTCACATGGACAGATGGATAACCCAAGGCCAACCTCAAAGAGCCAGCAGAAGGCCATGGCCTATCATTTAGGCCAACACCTTTCTTCCGGCCTCCTTGAATACAGCAGTCCCCAAACCAGAAACTGAGCTCTCCTCAGGCCGTGTGACATGGCTGAAAATCTGAGGACAAAGCTAGAGTACTGGGCTACAATTTTGGCACTAAGGCTTGGAGAAGGCATTTCTCTGCTGACTGCCCACTGGAGAGGTAGGGATTGAGACCCCCCTCCTTCCATTGCTGGGGCCTGGGATAGGTGTGGGAGAGGAAGGAAAGCCATTGCAACCACGGAGGCTTCTAGAGCCACAAGTCTCTCTAGATCAAAGCTGACTGTCCCTGGGTGCTCTGGGCTGGGGCCTGGACGCCCCCTGCCTGCTCACAGGTCTGTGTGGTGGGAGGAGGGCCAAGATTTGTAGTGTGAACTGGGTATCCATAGTCTGTGGGCATGTTTCTGTGGTCTGCATACCCATTCCGGTAAGGACTTTGGTGCTCCTCTCTAGAGGCTAAGGTGTAGGCCAGCTCTGAAGGGGATCCAGTATGGAGCAAAGTGAGCTGGGTGCTGACCAGTCTGCCTCCAGGAGGACATTGCTCTCTTCTGAGGCAGGGGATGTGGGAGGTTTAGAGAGGCATATTTATCAGGGTGTGGGCAGTTACCGGGCAATTCAAGGAACAGATCCCTTCACTGGTGGGCAGACACGGCACCCTCACACCCAGGGCCCCGAGGATGAGGGAGGGCAGCTGGCAGCTAGTGATGGGCTGGTGGAGGGCTTAGTAGGGGCTGAAGTCTGCTTAGGACACACGGACAGCCTTAGTTGACCCCTGGAGAAGAGTCAGAGGTCCAGCTGGAGAATCGGGCCACTTACTGTCCTGTTGATGAGGTCGACAAGGATTGATTTCTGGGAAGCTCCAGAGGGGTGCTAAGATGATGGGCCCATTTGGGCTGGATGATGTGCGTTCTCCCAGCCTCGTGCTCATGTGGCCTGGGGATCAGAAGATGATGTGGAGTCTGCAGACAGCTCTTCCCGAAGCCTTGGATATATCAGTCATTCCCTACCTGGGCTGGACTTGCAGGGCCAGACTGGAGGTCTGTCTGGATTGCCCCCTCACCCCCAGGGTTAGCTTGCTCCAGCACAGCCTCCTGCAGTGAGATCTGACCCTGCAGTGAGACCTGACCCTGCAGTGAGGCCTGACCCTGCAGTGAGACCTGACCCTGCACTGCCTGAGGCCTGACCCTGCAGTGAGACCTGACCCTGCAGTGCCTCCGGCACTGCCTCTTGCAGTGAGACCTGATCCTGCAGTGAGGCCTGACCCTGCAGTGAGACCTGATCCTGCAGTGAGGCCTGACCCTGCAGTGAGACCTGATCCTGCAGTGAGGCCTGACCCTGCAGTGAGACCTGATCCTGCAGTGCTCCAGCACTTCTCACCTGCCTCTCCTGGCCCCAGACTCAGCTCAGTGATCTGTGTGTGGCATGAAATTGCCCTGTCTGGCTGTGTGACCTCAGCCCAGCTCTTTGCATGTAGATGAAGCAGAGGCTAATGCTTTGGGGTGTGGTCACATCACTGTTCCTTCTTTGTCTATCTCTCCTGTCCCCTGAGAGAACTGTGTGGGATCCTAGCAGGGATTACAGGGTGACTCAAACCTCCAGGTCCACTCAGAGTTCAGCATGGGGCCAGCCAGGGCTGACAGCCTTGGAAAGTGGTCACTGTGGCAAGGGCTTGGGCATCCTTCTAGGACACCCACACAGCCTCAGGCTGTTGGTGTTCTCTAGGAAGGGAGGAAGAACTAAAGGGACTTGGTTCTTGTTCTACATGCTCTGGGCCACTCTGGGACAGTGCAAGGAGGGACCAGGAAAGAAGCGAGAAGGTCAAGCTGTACGGCTGCACCTGCTGCCTAAGCATGCCAAGGCCACCAACCTGAGTGGGTGGCTGGCGATGAGATCTCACTGCCAGGGAGATGGGGGCCATCTGCTCTCACCACAGAAGGTGGCTTTATGCCCAAGGCCTGAGAGGACTCTGTTCCAGGCCTGCTAATGCATGGTGCTATTGGTCCTGTGATGGCAACACCAGTACCTATTTTTCCAGACAGGAAACAGTGTTTAGGTAGACGAACACTGTGACAGCCCCTTTTGGATCACCCACACCTCTGCTCCCTCAGGGGCTTCTGGCTGTCGTCCACCTTGGGTCCTGACCTCCTGCCATCATCAGCTCTGAACCTCTGAGGAACCCACCCTGAGTCCCTCTCCCCAACTTCGGTGCATATCAAGCCATAATTAATCAGCTTCCTCATCTCTTATTCATCAAAGGCACACACAGCAGCAACCGGGGCTGGTGCAGGGAAGGGGCCTGGCATGTCCCAGAATCCCACTGGGTCTGCCCATCTCCCAGCACTTCTGGACTTGGCTCTGAGCCAGGGCCTCCTACAGGGCACCATCCTGGGTTCTGCAGTGCTAAGCATACCTCCTGAAACATCATGTGTGCACCCCACCCCTGAGAGGTTTCTAGGGGATACTGGGTAGGGTATGTGCACTGCAGGGTCAGTTCTCAGTGGTCCCTGTGGCCCATCTTTAGGATGAGAGCCTGAGCAGGGAGAGAGGTGGAGCCTCAGGCCAGGCAGCCTCAGATACCAGTGCTGACACTTGGGCCCAAAGGTTGGGTCTGTCCCTTCTTCCATAAGAATTAGTGAGTTCCCATAAGGATTAGTGAGTTCCCAGAACTTCCAGACCTTAGGCGTGCTTGGGATACTGTGATAGTTGCTGTTGGACAGATTCCCGGGGTTGTCTCCTAGGGAATGCTGCTGAGCTGGTGATCTTGGAGTGGGCACAGCTAGCCCAATGGAGGGCTGGAGATGAATACTATGTCCCAGAGGGCCCAAAGTCTGGTATAGGGATAGGGCTCAGGGAAGCACAGTCCCAGGGCTATCCCAAGTCGTCACTGTGGCTCCTGGCCCCTCCTTGGCCACTGTGGGAAGTGGATTCTTTTCTAGAACCACTTATCTAGCAGTGATAGCCAAACTGGGAGCTTCTGTTCAGGCCAGGAGCCCAGAGTGCAGTCAAAACTGAGTTGGGGGCACTGTCTGAGTAGACTTATGAGCTCTGGATGAGGAAGGCACAGCTCTCTCATCCAGAGTAGCCATAGCTTGCCGCTGTGTGAGCCGGGGGTAGAAGGCATCTCAGAGCCCTTTCTAGGCCCTCAGTGAAGGGTTTCTGCTGGGCCAGCTCCACTCCTGACACTCTCAGTATAGCTCTCCCCAGCACTCCCACGGCCAAAGCACATGCCTGGGCCACTGCCACCCACAGAACATGAATATTTTATTTATTTTCCCGATGGGGACTCCATTAGTTAGCCTTAGAGTGCTCAACTGGGGACAAACATAGACTAGCTTGACTCAGTCTAGTGGTCCCATCTAACGGGCACTAAGAAGGCCCTTCATCATCTTTTCCTTATTGCCCTCAACATTTAGGCGTTTGGTACTTTGGGAGGTTAGTTCATACTTCTGCTGGATTTTGACTCTTCTTATCCCTTCAGGCTACAAAATCGAGGACCCTGCACCCAAGGGAGAAGGGTCTTGCTCTGGATTGCTCAGATAATACAGAACAAAGAATCTACCCATGGTGTGTGGTCAGCCGAAAACTCAAAGGGACGGACGGAGATTGCCTGGCCTGGCTGGCCTGGCTGCACCCCATATTCTGTCCCACGTTCCACAAGCAGTTCTGCATCCTGAGAACCGTGGGACAGCCACGCTGCCGAGATTGTCCTAGACCGAACCTCCCCTCTAATTCATGCCCTTGGGCACCAGACCTGGCTTTTGGATGAGACAGAGCTCCCAAAAGCTGGTTCTGGGGGCTGAGCCTGGGGTTTGAGACACACTGAGTATAGAGAATGCATTTTTCCACATTCCCAGTGAGGGAGGTCAGGGGCTCATATGGGGCTCTATGTGAAGATGGTTCTAAGAGGAGGCAGCAAACAGGCCTTGGAGTCTGTGGTGTTTTTAGCCAGGATTCTGCTAACGGTCCAAGATGACCAAGGTTTGCAGTCAGTCTTGTATGCATGTCTCCCAGGTTGTGGTGGACATCCAGGGTCTCACCATCCCACCCACCCTCTGCTCCGGGCCCCACTTCCTGCCTTGGACCTTCCCACTCATGTGCTGGTTTACCCAAACAAGTCCCCCACTGTGGGACTGTGCTTGATGAGTCCGTGTGGCTGAAACTGGGCTAGCCAAGGATCCCAGAATCCCAGCCACCACTCTCAGGTGGCTGGGTGTTAGGTTCCCGAAGACTTCACTCCCCAGGCTCAGGCTCCATTGGAATGCCCACAGGCTACTGTGTCCCACCTGTTGGAAATACTGCTTGGACTGAGAAGCTCATCAGGAAGCCAAGAACCATCTTCCCTGCTCCCGGATCCTTTCTGTGACACCCTTGTCTAGAACCATCTACCGCTCTGGTGACGGCCTCTCCAGCTGGCTTGGCATGGCCAGGTTGTTGGTGCCCAGACACACGTATGTGTGCAACAGAGGCTGCACTTCAGCCCATGGAGCCTCCCATGTTAGCCAGGAACCTTATCTTCCTAGCCTTCAGAGAAGGTCCTCTGCTAGGCCTCTCCCTTAGGCCTCTCCTTTGTCCCAGGGATGAGGCCGAACCCAGGTCTAGTGCCCCGGACAGCACCATGCTAGCCGCATCTGTCTGAGGTCCAGGGAAAGGCCAATGTGATGAACCAGCTGACAAAGCCCAGTGTGGAGCCGACCCGCTAAAGGCCCGACTGTCCCTTGACTGCATGGGTATCCATCCAGAGCAATTCTGAAGGTCACAAGGCAAGAAGAAACAGAAGAGATGGCTTGGGAAAGGACGGATGAAGTAATGAACACCAGTCATGAAAGAGCATTATGGTAAAGCTAACTGTTTTTAAATCCTAACTCTCATGGATTTTTTTTTCTGGTGAAGAAGGAGTAAAAATACATTTGATAGTGAAAGGACAAGATCCAACGTGAAGCTTCAACTTCTGTTCGAAACGGCTGCTCAACGGACAGAAGCCCACTCGGTGCCAGAGGCTTCGGTTGGAGTAATTATGGTATATGGCTTGTTTGTTTGTCTGAGACAGGCTCTTTCTACATTTCCCTGGCTGTCCTGAAACTCATGGTGTAGACCCGGCTGTCCTCTCACTTACAGAGATCCCCCTGCCTCTGCCTCGCAAGAGCTGGGATTAAAGGCGTGTGTCACCAGCGCCGGCTGCAACTTTTTATAATAAAGTTTTGTTTGTTTTAGGAAAGAGCTGGAGAGAGTGATTAAAAGCACTGACTTCTCTTCCAGAGGACCCAGGTTCAATTTCCAGCAACCACATGGCAGCTCACAACTGCTTGTAACTCCAGTCTCAGGGGATCTGACACCTTCTGACCTCTGAGGTCACCAGGCACGCATGTGGTGCACAGACATACATGCAGACAAAATGCCCATACACATAAAAATAATCTTTTAAAAGAGAAGGAAAAGTTAAGAAGAAGGAGGGGGAAGGGGTAAGAGGAGTGACTCGCTGTTCTGAATTCTGGAACACATTACATTCTAAGACCGCAATAATTAACAGTCGATGGGCATCAGATGATGGAAAAGAAAATCCTGGAAAAGACTCAACTACAGGTATGAGGAGGAGATACATAAAATCCAGGAAGGAAGGTGAATTATTCAAAAACTAACTTTAAATACACAGTCATACAGAGTTTTAGGACAACTCAGTTAGCAAACCAATTGGAAAGTTTGAACCCCTGCCTCAGTTCACATTTAAAATAAGTACCCAAAGGACCAAAGGTTTAAGAAGTAAAAACAAAACAATAAACTACTCTTTGAAAAAAGGCACAAAGCCTGGCATAGTGCTGTAGAGGCAGAGGCAGGGGAATATCTGTGAGTTTGAGGCTAGCCTGGTCTACATAGTGAGTTCCAGGACAACCAGAGCTACATAGTGAGACCCTGTCTCAAACAAACAAACAAAAATCCACAAATAAATAACTATAATCTCAAATCACTCTTAAGAATGATAAAAACCTAGAAGCTGTAAAGTGAGAAATGGGTATATTCAACCTCATAAAAATAAAAAGTAGCTGCATGGGAGAGACAAAATCAACAGATAAACGATAAAACATGAAAGTATCAGCAATTCATTTCACAAAGGGCTGTTCTGGGTTATACAGAGGGGGAAAAATGGGTTTAGACATAAAAGAAACCCATCAACTTACATCAAACCTCACCCAAACTAAGCGAGAAGCATGCATGCTCATGATACACTGGGATACAGCTACACCTCTCTAGGCTCCAACTCTTCCCCTCGCACACAGGGAGGCAAGGGCGGAGCCTCATCCCGCTGGGTTGTGCCTGGGTTGCGCCCTCTTGTGGTTGGCTAGGGACACCTGGTGGTTTGCTGGAGAGATGCGGGAGGGGATGTCTGTCTACAAAAGAAGCACCTGCTGCTCCAACTGGCGGGATAGGGAGCTTTCTGCCTGTGCGCTGAGGCTATGAGGTGACTGGAGCAGGCTGTGGGAGAGTGTCCATTTAAACAGGAGACTGGGATACTTGGCCCTCGATGCTGCCACCAGTGAAGCTGCAGTGGCAGGGGACCCCTTGGCTGTCCCATCTGCTCAGAGGTCCATGCTAAGCGCTCACAGCTGCCTGCTCAGCCTCTTTGTCTTCATTAGCACCCGGTTAGCAATGGCCTATGTTAATTAATTAGCTCTTGCCCTGCTGTTCAGGAGCGGTGCCAGATTCAGCTGGGGCCTCTCCTGGTCCCAGCTCCGACTCTGAGCACCTCTGTCTGTCCTGATGCTCCTCATCACATCCCTCGTGTCATCTGGGACCAAGAGATCCCGTCTCCCAAAGACCTGGTCTGGGTAGTGTCTCTGTCTTTCCAGCCTCAGTTTCTCTGATAGTGAAATGAGGTATATTATTTTTGCAGGCTGTGACAAAGATACCTAACAGTGTGTGTGTGTGTGTGTGTGTGTGTGTGTGTGTGTGTGTGTGTGTGTGTGTATGTGTGTGTGTGTGTGTGTGTGTGTGTGTGTGTGTGTGTGTGTGTGTGTGTGTGTGTGTGTGTGTTCAGACAAGCTCTCACTCGGTAGCCCAGGCTGGTTTTGAACTCCCAGCAACTCTCCTGCCTCAGCTTTCCCAAGTGCTGAGATTATTGCATGCACCATCATGTCTGGCTCTGACACTCCAGCTTCAGTAAGAACAAAGATCTTGAGGTCTGGCATGTGGACCATGTAAGGCCTCTACAAATGGCCTTTATTTTTGTTTTGGAGGTGCTGGGGTTTGAACCCAGATCTCTTGTGTGATAAGCAAATGCTCTACCACTGAGCTACACCCCTAGCCCTACCAGAAGCTAAAAAGAGGGAAGATTCATTGTGACTCAGGGTTTCGTGGCAGGAGGGCATGGTGAGGCAGAGCAGGTCACTTGAGGAAGGACAGGAGGTGGAGAAAGGAGATACAGGAAACAGGCAGGGCAAGGTACAGCCCCCAAGATTATGCCCCCAGTCCCTGCTTTCTCCAACCGTGCCCCACCTCATCCCTTTCACCACCTCTCAATAATACCATCGTATTGTGAATCCATCCCACAGGCATGATGTCATCTAAAAGTTCACACAAAAATAGCAAAAACAAAACGAAACAACAGCCAAAACAAAACCTTGTAATGTTTTAACTAACTTTACAGTTTTTGTTAGGCCACACTCATAGCTGTCCTAGGGTGCATGTTGGCCCTTCAGCCACAGGTTGGATACACCTGAGTTAGGCTAGAGTCCTTGTGATCCGATCCCCTCTACAGACACACACACACACACACACACACACACACACACACACACACACACACACACACGTGTCACAGGTGACTAGGAAATCTTTCATTGATCTCTTAGGTGGTTCTCAATCCAAGTCGACAAGACTGATCAACACAGAGAGAGACCTGCTTCTGTGAGGGAGAAACTTGAAAATGGAGAGGGCCAGAGGAGGCCTTCAAGAGAGGGGGTCCCAGAGAAGGCGGGATTCTCGGCTTGGTTCCAATAAGCTCATTGGTTAGAGCAGAGGGTGGCTAACCTGCAGTGACCAAGACCACTTGTCCACCTGTGTGGTGACTAGGCCTCCTCATAGCTTAATCCGTATGCCTGTCCTGCGGGGCTCCATGTCAGGAGACTTTCACACTGCCCTAGGTTCCTGTGTGTCTGGAACCAGGCTGAGGTCAGTCCCAACCCCATGGCTGACCTTATGGACAGACAGACTTTGCTATGTCAAGATAAGGTGCCTGACAGCCCTGAATGCCGGGTAGCTGCTGGCCTGAGCCCCAGAGACTTAGCAAGAGGAAGCCATTCTTCCAGACCCATCACCAGCCATCCTGCCCTATCCATTCTGTGTCTTGATTTCTGGGTGAAGGTGAGGCAGGAGGATGGCTGTATGCTTAGGAGGTGATGGTTAGGAATAAGAACTATAGTACTCACTTCCAGAAGCCACACCATCCTTGAATGAGCAGGCCCTGAGCCCTCCAACCCCATCCCATCTGGCTGTAGGAAAAAGAGACACCATGGTCTGTTCCTCAGGTTCCTGAGAAGGGGTGCCTGCCCAACACAAGTAAGAAAAGCCCCTCAGGGTACCATGGGTGGTGGTGTCACAGCAGCAAACCAGACTCATGTCATAGATGAAGAAACAAGCTTGGGAGAATGTCTCCAGTAACTCCGGAGAAAGGGAGGCGTCCTGACCTGATGTGGGTTTCTTTACCACCACGGCAGGCCTGACACCCAGAGATGAGCCTGGAAAGCCTGGGGGAGGGTCGCAGAGTGTCTGTGGGGGGCCCAGCTAGTCAAATACGCATCTGTCCCTGTTCATGGGGAGTTTGGGACCAACAGTCAGATCGTGGAACAGCAAAAAGGGAGCTATTGGGTCAGAACTAAGAGAATCTGGAGAAGGGATGATTTTGTTGCTAGGATTCTCGGTGTTGGCTCATCGGTGATGGCAGGAATGTGGCACTAACAGCAGGAGACTGGGTGTGTGGCATATGGGAGCTTTCTGTACTGTCTTTGCTGAAAATCTAGAGCTATTCTCAAAGAAAGCTTATTTTAAAATGATGACTTTATTAGCAATGCCAAGCAGAGTCTACCCCAGTCTCTGCCCGGGGCAGTTCTTGCCCAGCTCAGGCAGTCTGTGACCATTGCCCCGAGTCCTGTACCCCTCCTGTGGGAGCCACCAACCCCAGCCGGAAGTGCTCTGAAGTACTCTCCATGGTGGTGAGAGACCTGGTGGGTTTAATCCGTGTGTCTGTCCTGCTGGATTCCACGTCAGGTGACTTTCATGCTGCTCCCGTCCCTGTGAGTCTGGAACCTGGCTGAGGTCAGCCAGGGCATGCACAGACAGCAGTGCATGGCAGTGACCTCACCTGAACTCAAGGTGAGGTCAAGGGCTTGAGGGAGGGCAACCTCACCCCTGGCCGTGTGAGTGTGACTGTGATGTAGACTCCAGGCCTCGCTGGCTCCATTCCAGTTTTCAGTACAAAGCAGAATGTGGTGAGAGATGTCTGAAGACCAAACCTCCTCCCCTAGCTGAACCTCTGCCTGGTCTTCTTACTCTTGGTGGGAGCATTCTAGATAGACCAGCCACCCCTCTAACGCTCTCAGGGGTGGGTGGCCATGTGGACAATGGGGTGTATCCAGTTATGCTGACCCAAGGAGAGGCCAGATAGGACCCCATCTATGGCAGGGGTTTCCTCCACCAAGCCCTGTTAACATCTGGGAACTTGTCTGTGGAAGTGCAGAATGGGAGGGCGGCCATGCTATTCTGCTCCTGAACTGCTATGTGCTGAACCTCAGGATTGGCCTGTTAGGGCTTGGGGGTAAGTCCCAGCCTCCGGGCCTCCAGACACAACCATGTAGGCCTGCTGGAGTCTCACACAGCAAGAGACAACTGGGCCCACTGTTTGGGGTTCCAAGGATGCCGCAAAGGCTGGGGAGTGGGTGGCCAATACACTGTCTCTCCTGCCGCGGAAGCCAGAGTCTGACCCAGCCCAGACACGTCCACTCAGATCTCCTAACGTTTGCAGCTCCTTGTGGGTTTTTGACAGCCTTGCCTGGCAAGAACAGACCCTTCCACTAGAAAGGGAAGTAGTCCATCCCCAGCATCCTTCCAGAATGAGAACCCACTGCTAGAGGGTTTACGGTAAATCACCAACCCAGCCGCCAGACCTGCACAGCCATATCTCACTGCGTGGACTTGCCACGTCTGCTTCTGGAGCATGGCCTGCTGGGTCCTGGCTGCTGAGGTGGAACAGGTGTCTAGGACAGGTCAGGAACAGGCAGAGAGCTCAGGTGCTGTAGGCCCAGTCTGTCCTGTGCTCTGGGCTCCGACTTCCTTCCCTCCGAGTGAACTTTCAGGAAGTCTTTGACTGTCTCAGTGGAATGGCAGACCTGCCTTGGGACTGAGGAACTCCTGGCTTGGAGCAAGAGTCAAGATGTCCCTAAAGAAACATAATGTCCCTGGGCACAGCACAGAGCTCAGCTCCCCAGACAGCTAAGGGCATTGGCTAGAGGACAGAGGGAAAACTGAGGCTGGGTGGTCCCAGACCTGTCCTGAGGGCCACTGGGAGAAGGTGACACATCCCTCTTCCTACCTTAGGACAGGAGGGAGGGACTAGCTGTCATCAGAAATCCTGCTGGAGGCTTTTTCTACTTGCAAGAGTTGAGATGATTAAAGGGTGGGTCCTGGGGAGATAAAAACTCCGAGTGGCACACAGGATGGAGAGGAAGTGGAAAGCCTCAAAGACCCCTCTAGGCTCTCAACGGGTGACTCAGACAGTGTCGATATGCAGGACACGTGGAGAGGGCTAGCAACCAGTTCTGTTGCCAGGTTAGGTGTCCCTAGGCAGTGCAGCTCACCCCAGATCCCCCACTTGTCAGGCCCTGGTTCTGGGGCCTAAAGGAAGGATGGCAGGAACTCTAGGGCCGTGTCCTGGAGCTCAGAGTCCCAGCAGGAAGCTGTTGGTGTAGGGGTGGCACTTTGCGCCCGGGGAAGGAAGGGTATCTCCACTCAGCTGGCTGCCTGTCAGCCACTCCTTGGTGTCCTGTGTGTCAAGTGTTTTCACAGGCTGCAGGGTGACCAGAGTCTGCCTCCCTCACAGACTAGATGTTTCTGTTTCCCTCATTATGTTCACTTTGGATATCTCTGTAAAAGCACACCTGTTCCTAAGGTAGGGCTCGGAGACAGCCACCCACACCAGAGTGAGAAGTACTGGGTGTGATGCGCCTGCCTTGGCAGGGTGTGGCATTCAACTGGACAAAGAGAGGAGGCTGTTTCTGCTGGGAACTCAGACCATCATTCCAGCTACTCACTCCCTAGCCCACCAGAAGAGGTAGGAAGCCTTGAAGTACCAGGCTTGTGAATGGCCCATCTCCATGGCAACACGTGGGCACAAAGGGCTGGGCTGGTGAGCAGGCAGTGGCTTCGCAAGGCTGGGAAGAGGAAGGAAAGCTGGTGATGGGAAGGGAGCATGGGAACACCGGGCTGTACTCCGGCACTGTTCTTGAGGTTGTAGCCTTACCCTATAGCCCGGGGCTCTGAGCCAGTCCCCACCAGGCCCAGCACCGACCCATGGACATAGACAGGTGAAGGGCAGGGCTGGTACTCATTACTCAGAGAGCTACCCCCAAGTGAAGGAGTCTTTACCATTCCCCACACCAGTGTCTATGCACATGTACCAGGACACGGGCCATGAAGGCTACCTACTTGACCAGCGGTGAGGAGATGAGACTCCCACACAGCAGGCTGGTGCAGAAGTGGAGCCTAGAAAAGACCTGACTTTGGTTCCCAGCACACATTGGTCTCTGCTAGGACCTATGCACGTGTGGTATGCATATACACTCAGGCACACACACACATACACACACACACACACACACACACACACACACACACACACACACACACACATTTTAAAAAAGAGAATTCTAAGGAAAAATCTCAAACAAGAGACCAATGTCCGGGAGAGGGTTGGATCTAGGAGTTAGAGGGATGAGTTACAGGGTGGATATAATTAAAAACAAACAAACATTGTAAGCATGCATGAAATTCTCAAATATTAATAAAATATTTTAAAAGAGAGAGACTAGAATTAGCCAGACACAGGAAGAGCCACCTGTACAAAGGCACAGAGGCAGACAGAGCGGAGAACATCGGGATGGCTGGGAGTGTGAGCGGCTCAAGGGCGGAGCTAGTCCAACGCAGGCATCCTCCTCTCCTTATGCCACCCTGGCTATGCGCACAGGGGACCTTGAGCATTGGTGGCAATGACCCTCCTGTCACAGGTGAGGCTGTAGCCCAGTCCTGGTTT